AAATATCCTCTTTCTTCTTGTAGATGCCATTTCACTAAAAAGAGGTGACAGTAAATAGTAGAGTGGTTTGACATTAAGTGAAAATTTAGATGATTAGAGGCATCACACATTCTCTTGAAAGATAGTGAGTACTGAAGAAGAGGGGAAACTCAGCTCTCAGTGGATGTTTATTTTCTGTAGAGAATTGCACATGAAATACCATAAAGAAAGATGCACACAATTAGAAAGTGCCCAGTCCTTACTCATTTTACTGATAACATGCTGCATTGACAGATTGATCTAATGACTCCAAGGAATTACTTCAGGTGTGGAACAGCTCCTCAGCACAAAAGGTCATGATCTGACCCTGAGCTCCAATGGTTAAATTCTTTCTTTAGAAGCTTTCCTATGAAAGAACTTATTTGGCCTTTTTTAAAACCTGTCATTTACTGATGGAAAAATTGACTGACAATCTCGAGGATAGAAAGTACACAGTTTGCCAGACCAGCCTATGTCTCAGTCCAAACCTGCATGACCCAAACAGGTGCTAAATATTGCTATTTAGTTGAACAGGATGAGGTCACATTCAAGGTGAGACAAATTAAATTAGACAAGGCAGATTTCAAAAATACCTGTCTATCTTACCCTTGCAAAACAGGAGATGACTGCTCATCAGACTGCTCATGTCTTGTATGAGATAAATAACATGCTAGGATGTTGATGTAATTGTACTAGGATAATGACAGAATTAAACACAACAACTTAGAACAGTGTAAAATGTGAGAACCTTGATGAGTTTTGTATGAGTGCACACTTTGCAAAGGTAAGGAAAGTGCCAAATGATCATCCACTGGCAAAGACTACACAAGCCACCGTGTCCCACAAATTCAATTTTGGCTGTTGGACACGAACTACACTTAAGTGATTTTGAAAGGGATTAAAGCAAACACAGCCCTGTCTCCCTGCTTGGTGATGGGTACTCAGTCCTGTGCCATGGCTTTGGGGATATAATTGAGTGTTCCATGTACAAACTGCCCTAGGGAAAGGGATAGAGCTCCTGATATCCACAGTGTTGGATAATCCCTGGCTGGGGGCTGTCCTTGCTGTACCCTAGGGAAAGATAGGAGAGAGTAGAAAGGGGAGAAACGAGAGTCCTGTCTCATTTGTGTGTCTGTCACTCAAATAAAGGAGCTGAGGGTTTGTTGCTGGCCCAAAGCCCAAAGGCCTTGGGACAGCCAACATTGTACTATTGAACACTTTTTTTTTTTCCCTCTCTCTCTAAAACTACCCTCTTTAATAGGAGCTTAGTGGTTCAGCTGGGGTGGTTCTTGTGGTGTCTGGGAACCTTTCCAGTCCTTTAAATTTGCCAGAGCTGGGGTCTGGGAAGGGGTGCTGATGTGGCCACAGCCAAGGCTCACACAGCTGCCACAAGAAGGATCTCCACAGCCTTAATGTGCTGGGATGCTTGGGAGCTTTGGAAGCCCAGCCTCAGCTGGAAAAGCCCAGCCATGGTGGGAGCAGCAGCAGCAGCATGAGGCTGAAGGCTGGTGCCTCTTCTCCTGCACTCTCAGTGCAACAACCTCTTGGCTGAACCTCCTGAGTGAGTCTCGAGTTCCATGTGAGTACTGACCATATGTGAAATAGGAAACCAAGATGGGTTTTTTTCCCCCCCTCTTAAGGCTCTTAATTTTCTCCCTCTCTTCCTTCTGGGCCCTGTTTCTGTCCTAGTTATGTCTCTGCCCTTACTCCTCTTCTTGGCTCTCGTGCTTTGTCTCTTCTCCTCTTCTCCTGGAGGCTGGTGACAGCCCTTCCTATCTGCTGAATGGCTGAGGGGGAAAGGAGGCTGTCCTCACTCTCTCCATGACAAGGTGGACTCTGTGACCTTAGAGGGCTTTTCCCTTTGTCCCAAAGACCTGCTCCTGGTCATCTCCAGCTGCCATCCCCGTGCTCCACCCAGCCCTGGGCAGTGCAGCCTGGTAGGGCCGAGTCCATGGGGGTGAGAGATCCTGAGAGCAAATCCCACAACCCTCGGAGCCCTCTGTGCTGGCTGGGAAACCACAGTCCCTTCCAGGTTGCCCGGGATTCGTATGCAAACGCTGGGAGCAAGCAGGGTGCCAGCTTGTGCCCTGCATCCCAGCGATGGGAGAGGGGCGGGAAGGACCCGGCCAGGAAACACGGAAAGGCAGTTTCACCGGGATAACCACACCCAGGGGACGGGTTTATTAATATTTCTCTTTTGTCCAGTGTAGAATAATACAGGTTGTTCAAAGCGATGCCGGGCAGGGGAGGGAAGGCTGGGCTGTATGACAATCTTGGGCACAAGGGGGAACTCAGTGGAGCTTCCCCAGGGCTGCTTTGATCCCTGCCACGAAGCATTTAAAAATCCACCCAACTAGGATCGAGTTAGAGGGGAGGGTGCGAAAGCCACACGGGGCAAAGCTCCCCTTCTGTCCTCGCCATCCTCGGGCCCATAATTACCTAATTATCACCCGTTAATGAAGGGGATGCAGCTCCTCCCTGACCCGGTCCCGCTCCACCAGTCTCTCTGCTCTTCCTTTCAGCCGCGTTTTATTTATCGGCTTTAGTGGCGTTTGCAGCAAGGCGGAATCTCCGTGAAATGAATCGTTCCACCTGGACCCCGGTTTGCTCTCCAGATGGCTCGGCCCTCCTAAGCTGCCCTGGGTGCCGTATTTTCCCCGAGCTGGGCTGGCTTTTCCCCGTGTGCCGGCTCCTCCCTGGTGTCGCTGACAGCTGCGCGGCTCATGCCCTGTAGCAGCTCCCTGGCATGTCATTCAGGAGGAACAAAAGCGGATTTCTCCCCCACCTCCCCGCCAGGGAGGATAAAGGGGATGCTTTTGTGCTTCCCCCCGCGTTTCTGCGGGAGGGCCGAGCTTTGCCGAGGGGACCCGTCTCCCTGCAGGGCTCCAGCGTGGATGGGGGATCTCCGAGAGGGAATTGATTCTGCGCTGGGTCCCACCTGGAGAGCACAACTTGGGTCAGGTAACGTTGGGCTTTTTAACGTTGGACTTCTTTCTGGCTTACTAAAAAACTCCCGAAAGCAGCATTTGCTACTGCGTGGGAATTGGACGCAGAGGGTGACCCGGGGAGGGCAGTGGGGCAAGCACACTCCTCTTTGGAGTTGGCAACACTTGTCTCGTGGGTAGACAGCGAGGATGTGGGCTGGGGAAGGGCATTTGGATTCATTGCGAGCGGAGAGCGGTGTGTCTCTCTAAGGAGCTCCGCCTGAGCTGTCCCTTCCCCATGCATGCCCCTGATGGCTGGGAAATGTGTGTGGCTCAGGGAGAAGCGTGGGGGTATCCATGGATTTTCCCTGCTCGGCAGGGACCGCGTGTGTCAGCGGGACGCGGAGTGTGCCGAGCTCTCGGCAAAGGCACCTCCGGGGAGCTGCCCTTGGTGGAACTTCCCCAAATCCCTCTGAACTGACTAATCGCGGCCCCGAGCACCCGTCGGGGGGTTTGGAGCCCTCACCCAGTCTCGGGGGGTTCTGAGCTGTTCAGATAGGGCTCGTCGTGCTGCTTCGCTGCTCTTCAGGTCTCTGGAGCTCCCTGGGGGCACCGGCAAAGGTGTTTTCCCACTGCCGGGGGGTTTCTGAAGGCACAAGGGATACAGGGATGCTTTCTCGGGCTGGTGGGGTGAAGATCCTCAGGGCTGGGGTTGGTTGTCCCACACCCCCGCTGCAGGGGCAGCCGGGAGGTGTCCTCTGGAGGAGGGGACCTGAGCACTTAGTGGTCCACGGGCACATGTGGCTGCCCAGGAGATGCAGGTGTATGAACAGATAAAGGACTAGGGCTAAGACAGGGGATTTTAACTCAAAATAAATTCAAGGTAATCCCCCTCCGAGGATGTGCTCCCTGCCCTCCTGCAGGGAGTGTGTGGACACCACAAAGCCACTGATTTTCTGGTAACTTGTCACCCTGGTGAGGACTTGTGCTCCTGCCAGAGGCTTGTGGTGTGATCCTCCGGGGCCTGACTGGGGGGAGGGACTAAGAGCAGAGCCTGAGCCCCCCCCAGATGGGCTCTTTGCTGTCACAGAGCCTCAGAAAAGCAACATAAAACATGCCTGACTGTGGGAGAAGCTGTGAGCAGGAGCTCCACTCTGGCTCAGGGCTGGGTCCTGCTGCTTGTGCCATCAGTGTGAGCTGTGAACTCTTGGAGCTTGAGTGAGAGCAGTCTGCCGTGCTTCACTGCAATCACTTCATGAAGTCCTTTAGGAAATATTAAAAATCATCTGGAGACCACATCAAGCAGAAAGGGATGTCAGAGGTAGCATCTCCCCTGGTTTTGGGCAGGTCATGTCGTAGCTACCTTTGGCAAATCTCAGAACCACAGCCTTACCTCTGCACTTCTGCCTGCAGTGTGGGGAAACAGGATGGCTCAAAGTCAAAATACTGCACTGCTCTCAGCTGGGCTGTACTGTGGGGCACCTGAGAGGATGGGGAGAGCAGTTAGAGCTGGGAGACACCAGAAAGAAAGGAAAGGGTCTTGAGGTGGCAGCACTGCACAGGTTGGGCAAGGCAGCAGCCTTAGAAGGAACTTCTCCTAAAAGCAGCAGTTTGCCTGCAAGGAAGGGGCTGGATTGGGAATATCCCAGTGCCCTTCGCTGTGCTGTGGTTTGGAGGAACTGTTGACTACTGAGGAGGAGTTGTGTGGGGGTGAGGGGACAGGGTCTGACTAGATTTTGGCTGGATTTTGTACTTCCTCCTGGCACTGAGGAAGGTGCAGAACTATGATGATGTTGAGCATTGCAGGCAGATGTTTGAACAGTGTGCTGATCTCCTGTCCCTGCTTCCCTGGTTGAACAGTGTACTCATCTCCTGTCCCTGCTCCCCTGGTTGAACAGTGTGCTGATCTCCTGCCCCTGCTCCCCTGGTTGAACAGTGTGCTGATCTCCTGTCCCTGTTTCCCTCATTCAACAGGGTGCTGATCTCCCAAATCCTGCCCTGCTTCCCTGGTTGAACAGTGTGCTGATCTCCCGTCTCCTGCCCTGTTTCCCAAGCAGGATGCACCGAGTGATGAAGGAGGAATCCAGTTTCAGGACAAGCAGCCTGGAAAACATGCCCCGAGACCCAGGCAAGGACAAGGTGCACATGAAGCTGTGCAGTGGGTCCTGCCACGCCGAGCAAATCCTGCAGACCCTCAACTCCTACCGGCACAGCGGCACCTTCACCGACGTGGTGCTGCTGATCGACGGGCAGGAGTTCCCCTGCCACCGTGCCACCCTGTCAGCCAACAGCACCTACTTCAGGGCCATGTTTGGTGGTGAACTCAAGGAAGGCCACCAGGACATCATCAACATCCAGAAGATCTCTGCCTCCACCATGTCTCTCCTCCTGGATTACATGTACGGGGGGAACATCATCATCCAGGAGGACAACGTTGAGGGCATCTTGGAGCTGTCTGACCTGCTGCAGATCTCCAAGCTCAGGGATGCCTGTGTCACCTTCCTGGAGGGCCAGCTGCACCCGTGCAACTGCCTGGGCATCATGAAGTTCGCCGACTCCTTCTCCATCGCGTCCCTGACCGAGAAGAGCAGGAGGTTCCTGCTGGAGTGTTTTGTGGAGGTGTCGTGCCACGAGGAGTTCCTGGAGATGGGGGTGAAGGAGCTGGTGGGGTACCTGTCTGACGAGCAGCTGGTGGTGCCCAGGGAGGAGGTGGTGTTCGAGGCGGTGATGCGCTGGGTGCGGCACGACGTGCCCGCCAGGAAGGGGGCCCTGAGGGAGCTCCTGGAGCACGTGCGCCTGCCCCTGCTCAGCCCCACCTACTTCCTGGAGAAGGTGGAGATGGATGGGCTCATCCAGGACTCCAAGGAGTGCATTCCCCTCCTGCACGAGGCCCGCAAGTGCTACATCCTGGGGAACGAGGTCAGCTCCCTGCGCTCCAGGCCCCGGAGGTAAAACAGCCCCAGCTTCCATGGCCAGCATGGACCCAAAGCTGATGGATCTCACAGTTCGATGATTCCTGTAGTTCGTGGTCCTTGGGTTGTTTTTTTTCTTTTTTCCTTTTGCCCCCCACCTATTACCTTGCTTTTGGCCTCCTTGCTCCTGAAATGAAGCATTGGAGTCGTTTGCCTGCTTTAAAGGATTCCTGTGGAATTTAATGCATGTGATGCTTTTTGTTTGCACTGTGCTCTAATCACAGCGGTGTCCAATGATCCCATCCAGGGAGGTGTCCAGACTAAGGGCAGGAAGGGGTGTTTTAAGCTCTTTATTTCCATCTGCTTCCCTCGAAGGGTAGAGCGCTGGGTTGAGACCTGTTTTCCATTCCCAGCTCTGCCACTGGTCTCCTTTCACCTCTTTGGATCTCTCCTTCACCTTCTCCAGACTGTTAACAGGAAGGCTTGGAGCAGTCTCAGTCCTGCTGGCCATCAGCACGGTGCTTAACTCAAAGGCATTGCTGCAGGGTCAGGAATTAGTATCCAGAGGGGAAAAGCAGGTACTGCCCTGGTACCCACCTAGGCATGTTCAAATTATGATGTTTTTTTCTTTCCATTGATTTACTGATGAACAACCAGAAGGTAAAGAGATGCTGGCCCAGGCAGCTTTGGTCTGTAGGGAATTGTCTCAGCCTGCACAAAGCATGGAGGAGCTGAGGATTGGACCAAGCCTTTCAAATCCTCTTTCATCCTCCTCCTTCCTGTCCCCTCCCTTCTCACAGAGAGGTTCTTTTCTCACCACCTCCTACTTGGCAGGACTTGCCTTCCCCTGCCGTCTGTCTCATCTGCTCGCTGCTATTAGGGCTGGAAAGGGAGAGAGATTTCCTGGAAGCACTTCTCTCTCCAGGCAGAAAGCTCGCCCCAGGCAGGCTGCCAGGAGTGGCTTTGCACACTCCTGAGGATTATTGGGTCTGACTGTGCTGGAAGGGGGAGGGGGAGTGGCAGGAGCCAGTGTCACTGTGGGCTTGTAGAGGTCATTCCCACTTCCCTTCCCTGTGCACTCTGGAGCTTTTCCCACCAGAGCTGGGGCGTGCCTCTGATCTGATGGTGCAGGGGTGAAATGATTTGCCCAGCAGATCAGTAGCTGAAGCAGCAGAGGGCTTTGCCTTCCCTAGGATGTCCCAAATAGGATGGGAGGGATGCTGGAAAGGAGTGGCCTGGCCCAGGACTCACCCCTGCCCTTCCTGGTGCAGGTTCATGGAGCTGGCAGAGGTCATCGTGGTCATTGGGGGCTGTGACAAGAAGGGCCTCCTGAAGCTGCCCTTCACAGACCTGTACCACCCCAAGAGCAGGCAGTGGACAGCCCTCTCCAGCGTGCCCGGGTACACCAAGTCAGAGTTCGCTGCCTGCACACTGAAGAACGACGTGTACATCTCAGGTGAGAGGGCCTGGGCCAGGTGGTCCCTTCCTGGGGACAAAGAACAGCACAAACTCTGCTTGGACAGGCACTCCTTAGGTCTGTTCACCAGGAATCCTTCACGTGTGTCCCAGCTTCAGAGCAAAATCACTTCTTGGTGAAGGTTGTCCTTGGGTGGTTTGGATTTTTCTGTCCCAAGGAATAGTTTCACCTTTGAGGGGGGAGGATGGCAGTGTTAAAAACCCCTTCCCTTCTGATGGGCATCTGTCAAGAGTGTCCAGCTGTGGAATGAGCTGGTTTTGGTGGGTGCTGTCAGAAGGGGTTTCCTAAAACATCCGAGTCCCTGCCTGTCCCTCAGTTGAAATACAGTGACTGTCAGATGAGTTCTGTGAGAGGGATGGAACAGTGTAACAGGGCCTTGAACTCCAGGCAGAACCTGCCTTGAGAAGCTGGGTTTACATGGCCATAACCCCACAACCATGTTCTGGCCATGGCTGCTCCATTGCATGGGGGAGCCGTGCAGTGCTGTGGTGCAGGGAGGTGATGGAGCTGTCCTTGGGATCGCACCAGCCCTCCGTCCCTCTGTTTTCCAGGAGGACACATCAGCAGCAGCGATGTCTGGGTGCTGAGCTCCCAGCTGAACGTCTGGATCAAGGTGGCCTGTCTGCAGAAGGGCCGGTGGAGGCACAAGATGGCAACGCTCCAGGGCAAGGTGAGCAACGGCCTGGATTTGGGAAGGAGCCACGTGAAGCACTGTCCCCACTTCTCCTGCTGCCCTGGACAGTGAGGAACTGTCAGTGTTTGTATTCAGGGTCATCATGAGGGTGGGGAGGCCCTGGCACAGGTTGCCCAGAGAAGATGTGGCTGCCCCATCTCTGGAAGTGTCCAAGGCCAGGTTGGAGCAATCTGGGATAGGGGAAGTGTCCCTGCCCGTGGAGGGGGGGACTGGATGATCTTTAATATCCATTCGAACCCAAGCCATTGTGGCATTCTGTGACTCATTTAGAGATGGTTTGGATGGGAGTATAACTGGGCCATAGCCAAGATGTCACTGTTTCAGAAACAGCCCCAAATGAAGTTGTGTCAGTAAGATCCACTGTGGGACAGTGCCACACCTCTGCAGGCAGCTGTGTTAAGTCTTTGGGTGAAAGCTGTGCAGTGTGGGCTGTTTCATGGCATGGTTTGTGTGAGGAGGGACCTTCAGAGGTGTTACTGTGGCTCTGTGTCACTCTGGCCAAGTCCTCCCCTCCCCTCACACACCCCGTGACAGGGTAGCCTCCAGGAGTTCCTGATCCCCTTGCTGTGCTCCTTTTGTGGCAGATCTATGCCGTGGGGGGCTTCGATGGCTTTTACCGCCTCTCCAGCGTGGAGTGCTACGACACCTTCTCCAACAGCTGGTCCAGCCTGGCCCCGCTGCCCCAGGCCGTGAGCTCGGCCGCCGTGGTCTCCTGCCTCAACAGGCTCTACGTGCTGGGAGGGGCTGTGGACGACACCTCCAACACAGACAAGGTATTGCTGGGCCATCAGGGATGGGCAGAGACCTGAAAAACAAGGTTTGGCAGGGAACCTGGAGGGAAACGGGGTTGTCCCTGAGCTACAAGGGTGCCTTTTTTTGTTGTTGTTGTTGTTGAAGACGGATGGAAGCTCTGTTACAATAAGATGAGAAGTCATGCAGTGAAATAGAAGCCAGTGAGACTTGGGCACCAGAGAGGGAAGGTGGCAGGAGGTAACAGTATATTAGATGTGCTTTCTGTAGAGCCTGGTCAGCCCTGGGGTGTCACTGGAACAAACCTTCCACACCATGGGCGTTCCCCTCAGCAGCAACACACTCCTCGTGCCTGGCTGTGCATCTGCAAGGCAGACACGATGCTTCTGATCTCCTGAGCTGCAGGAAGAGCTGTCAGTACTTCTGAACTCCATCTCCAAATGCTGTCTGGGTTAAGCACAGACACCCTGGGGCTTGTAGTTTGTCTGGGACACTGGAGCGCAAGAGGGAATGCCAGAACCCCTCGTGGCTTTGCTCACCCCTCCGGGGGTTGGAGCTCCCACCCGTGTTTCTGTCCCCATGCACTTTTATTTCTAGTGAAGAGCAGCTTCCCCCAAGCAGGGGGATGTGGGGAATCCATGTTCCTACAGCTGTGTCTCCCCTCCCAGGTCCAGTGTTACGATCCAGAGGATGACAAGTGGACACTCTTGTCTCCCACCCCGTTTTACCAGAGGTGCATCAGTGCTGTCTGCTTGGACAACATCATTTATGTTGTGGGTGGGCTCCTCAGCAAGATCTTCAGCTACGATCCCAGGAAAGACAGCTGGAGAGAAGTGGCTGCCCTCCCTGGGCCTCTGGTAAGGAAGAGCTTTAGGAAAGAAGTTCTGGGTCTTCTCTCTCTCTCTAGAATTGTGGCCATCTGTGCTTTGCTGGGGTTGAAGGCAAGGCAAACGCATTGTGGGTTTGGCTCTGAGCATGTGGACGTGACCCGTGCAGAGCAAATCAAGCACATGTCCTACTGTCAGTGTCCACACTGCTTGCAGGAGCTCTCCCACAGCAAACCCAAGTTTTTCCTGGGAAGCTGAGTCTACACCACCTATTAATGCCAGAGGAGTGGATCTCTAGGGAGAAAGTATTGGTGTTGGGGACCGTTCTCCACGTTATCTGTCTCAGTGGGAGGGTTACACTGCTCTGCTCTGCTCTGTGGTGGTGGTTGTGTATCCTGCTTTATTGCCATCACAGTCCTGCACTCACAGCCGTGCTGCAGTGTGAGCTGTGGCACAGGGAGAAGGAATGGTGGGACACAGCTTGTGATCTGAATTAAAACGCCAGGAAAGCACCTTTACAAGTGGCTTACCCAGGGAGGCACGGCCTGGCTCCCTGTGCCCTCGGTGTTCCTGAGGGACTGCCAGAGACAGCAACAGCCCCATCACCGGCTGGAGGCATTTCCAGTGCCTAAACTCTGACAGAAACAGTGAGAGTGCAGCCCCTCCAGAGCCAGACATCTGTCACCCTTCCTGCCGGGCAGGGCAGCGACTCAACGCCCTGCTCAGCTGTCTGGAGCTGGAGGCCTGATTCTCTGCTTTCCTCATGCTTTCCAGGAGAGCTGTGGCCTGACAGTGTGTGGAGGGAAGATCTACATCCTGGGTGGCCGGGACGAGACCGGGGAGGGCACGGACAAGGCGTTCACGTTCGACCCGGCGACGGGGCTGGTGGAGCCGCAGCCGCCGCTGCAGCGCTGCACCAGCTACCACGGCTGTGTGACCATCCTGCAGCGCAGGGACAGGTGACCACTGGCTCCCCTGCGCCCAGAGCCTCCCCTGGAGCCGCCCAGCACGTGGCAACAGCAGCCCCCTGCAGAGGAGGTGCTCCCCCGGCCCCCGAGCAGCCTCGGGTTTGTTTTTCCCGGCCCCGCGATGGTGCCGAAGGATTTGATGCTGATCCAGGTGAGAGGATGGAAGGATCCTGGGCTTTGCTGTGATCCAAGCTGCATCACAGGCCTTGCCACTGCAGCCCCTGGGACTGCTGAATTTGACCTTTGCTTAGGTTTTCCTGGCTGTGGACGAAAGTCTTCTGCTGCGTTTGCAACAGAGGTTTGCTGTCCTGAAAGGACGTGTGTTTGCTGCTCTCTGATGCCCAGAACTGTTGCTGTAACAGTTACAGCTCCAGGATCCAATCCTTTGGCTAAAAGCTGTCAGATATTTGTGCATTTATTAGAGAATCCTGTGCCAAACTCCAATGGGGACCTAGATGCTCCTTAACATCCATGAACAGAGAGCTGAGATTGGGACTTCAAAGTTGATAATCCCAAGAAAATCACTAAATCCCAAATAGTTCCAGCTCTGACTCTGTACAGGCCGTGTGAGGGTCTGTGCCCCCAAAGCACAGAGAGTGCTGTCTCTTTTCATCCATGTTTTGTGGTTGGACTGCTGTGTCTCTCTCACTGAGTGGACAAGTGAATCCTGCAGCCAAGAGTTCCTTCAGAGAGGAGAAGGAGGGGGAATATTAAGGTGTAGGAATTAAGCATGAAGACCTGAAGCATGGTAGCCACAGAACTGTCTCATTTTGGCTCTGGAGTATGTAGCAAATCTTAAAATAAACTCCGTATTTACCAGCCTGGGGTCCCTGGGAGCCTGAGAGTGCAGCTCATTTGGAGGATGTTTGATGGCACAGCCTGCATTGCTCCAAGCTGCCCTCAGGTCTAGAAATGTTCCTGAGCATGTTTGATTTGGTAGGATAACTGTAGTTTTTGGTGTTGGTGTCTTTAGTCCGTGCCTGGAACTGGTAATTTCTGGTGGCTCCATGTAAATGCTCACGTTGTTCAATTAGGGGCTGAATTGCTGCCAAATGTAGAGTGAGGGCTCTTAAAAACTCCCCTGCCTTGGACACCGTGGGGTGCACCCCTCCACAGCAGGCTGCTGGCTGGCTGCTGTGCTCTCTGCACCTTCCTTTCCTCACCCCAGTTCTTCCTGAAGCAGAGGAAATTACTGTGGCCACTGGGCCAGCTATTCCCCTTTGATTGTCCAAAATCTGCTGGTTCTGCCTGCTGCCCCCCGTGCTCACCACTAAACCAAGTCCTCAAGGGCCACATCCACCTGTTTTCTGAATGCTCCCAGGGATGGTGACTCCACCACTTCCCTGGGCAGCCCCTTATAATGCCTCAAAACCCTTCCCATGACATTTTTTTTCCCCCTGATATCTAATCTAACCCTCCCCTGGCACAACTTGAGGCTATTTCCTCGAGGATTTCCTCAAAGGAGATTCCACGCTGGTATAGGTTATTCCCACGAGGAGAGGAAAGGAAATTCTTGCTGGTAAAAGGCAATTTTATTTGCAATCAAATTGCATCCACGTTTGGGTCTTTAATGGGAACGGAGATTCCAAGAGGATGAGCCTGCCCAGAGCAGGCACTGAGCAAAGTCTGATCTGCTGAGGAGGTTGAGCACTGTGGGGAATCCCTTGTGAAAGGGATGGTCCTCCTGCCAAAGGTAAGCCTGAGGAATGTGGAATGGGGCTGGGAACACAGGTGATCTTGCCTGGCTGCTGGTGGTTCTTTGTGCTCCTGCTCTTGAGCACAGGAATATATTTGGACATAGCAACAGCCTTGAAAGGAAAAACGAGGAGTTTTCCAGTTGCATTTCCAACTTCTCTCTCCACAGTCTTCCCTGATTTTCCTAATACCTCCTCCTGGGAGTGTCTTGCTGTACTTCCCACCTTACTCCTGTAGGAGTGAGCACACTCCAAAGGGTGGAAGATGTCCTTGTCAGCTTTCCCACGTGCTTTTGCCATGTGTGGTGTGTTGGAGTGGGTGGGACACGGTGCTGGAAGTTGTGGCACAGGCACTGAAACATTTGCCTCTCTCTTGGTCCTGCTATTTATTGTACCCCTGAATTATGTTTTGTGGGGGCTGTGGGTGTGCAGGGGAGGGGTAGGGAAGGGATTCAACTTGCTTTGATTTAGAAATAAATATTCACCTTGACTCCCAGCTGCTGTTTGCTTCGGGGAATTCATTTGTGCCTATGGCATTCCAGAAATGTATTGTTGATGGAGCATCACAGGAGCTTTGGGAACACCGTCCTTGAGGTGTCCCAGCCTTTGCCTGGGGTACCTAAATCCTCACTGTGAGCAAGCAGAAAGTTCAAGGCACTGCTGTTTGTCCACAGGGAATGATGTCTTTAACTATTCCATGGAATCACGGCCGAGTCAGCGTAGGGGAGGTGTTTGGATAATTCAAACTCTGCTGAGGACGGGGAAAATTCGACTTGTGTTTTGGCATGATGGAAAGAGAAACCGAAAAACTGTTTGCCTTGGCTGTTTCTTGCTCTGCCTTGCTGTGGCAGAAGGACAGAGAGCACGGAACTGCCCAGCACCACAACGTGCTTCACATCCCAGGAGGAGTTTCCTCAGCCCACGTGTGAAGCATCTCCTGGCTGTGTTCCCAGGAGTGCCCAGACTT